CTATCGTAATGAGTCTATTGACTTTGTCATGTTGTGCCACTTGCGTCTGGCATAGACACCGTGTTAGAGTAAAATAGGCATTCGCCTAGCTACTTATGCCTAATTTATGGATTTCTCAGCAGTTCAGTCTCTTGTGCAGTAGCAACAGCTTGCATAGGCATTCAGTCATCGAGATTTTTCTCAGCAGCAGCATGCACAGCATTTCTATGTTGCAAATTTTAATTCGGACACAATTAATATAAAAGCAGACTACTGCATTTAAATATAGTCACTGTAGTGTCCTGCTCAAGACCATCTTGGAACGAGCCATGACTTTAGCAATGATGTGTTCATACAATGCAAACATTATTGTTCTTAATATGCGATATAAATATTTTATTATTATCAAAATAATTGAGCAGCTGCTTTTGAAGCAGAATTAATCCTGGGCATATGACACCACAACTACAGGGTGTACAGTGATTTATTCTTTAGCCAAATATTTTGTTAGCTTATTAATAAGTTAAAGGTAAGTATATCCATTGCAGTAACGCTGATGAACGTTAATGGGGAGAAGAAAATAAATAAATAAATTACAACTCTTGAATGGCAAATTTAAAACTATTTGCTCAGGCCGCCCGAGCCTGAGCCAGGTGGTTTCTGGGGGTAACGTCTATCATCTATCAGCCTACAGTGTGATTCCTGTTTGTTAATGACACGCAGATCGCGTTTCTACTTAGGTAAGTTTGAGCTATTGGCTCAGACACACATAGTTATTTAAGTCATTAGTTAAGTAAACCTAAGGGTACAGCACCCAGGATTACATCGTTAAGCCACTAGTTAATTTATCTGGGCTCCATTAGCCCAGAAACACTTTTAACTCAGGTCACTAGTTTAAGCTATCTGGTCAACTGATCAGGTACACACAGCAATAGTTCACTAGCATTAAGCCATTCAGCAAAGCTGTCAAAGGCTCACATAGATAGCAAACACACGGTCGCACGGCTCTCTGGAGCAGCAGCAGTACATATGTCTTGGCAATAGATCTGCTTGTTCTGGGGGGTTTTACCTTTTATATTAATTCTGCCTATAGGGATGATTTTAAGCATATTATTGTATAGCAGCAGCATACATATTTAATTGTTTTGTTTTCTTCTTCCAGCTTTGTTGGGGGGTTATTTTATATGCTATTTGTGCAGCAGCAGTATGCATTAAATACTGACGGCACCGTATCGCTGTATGCATTGGCAGTAGCAAGTTCCTGTACTTGCTTGCAGCAGCAGCAATAATCTACAACTACAGCAATAACCAACAGCAGCAGCGTAGCAGATCTATTCCGCCAAGACCAAATACATTAACATTGTCATATCCATCACCATGCTAAAATCTTCAGAGAGTTGTCATGATTAAACTAAATTTCCTGTTTCATTCATAGGGTTCCACTTTGAATTCTGTAACGTCAGTTTTTTTCTCTTTCCTAATGGGCAAACTGTTGTTGCTGTGCAGTTCAGTGCTCATTCAGTAAATGCACAGCGAAACACGTGTTTTAAGTCTAGATTTAAATGTGGCTACTTTTTTAGCACATCTGATGCCTTTTGGAAGCTGTTTCCTTCTATTTCTGAAAATATGACAGTTAGGAGATTTATAGTGGTTCCCTGCATTATTACAGCAAAGCGCGTGATTACAGTACTAAGCCGCTGCTACATTTTAATGGGCATAACTTTTGGTTTCTGTAACCAATATTGAAAAAATTTACAAATGCAACAAAGATATTGGTATCGGTACTCAGTATCGGCAAGTACCAAAAATAAAAGTATCGTATCGGGTGAGTACTGGAAAAAGTGGTATCGGTACATCCCTAGTTTATAATCAAGTAATAATATTTTTTAATTAATCCTAAATGTTTATGAGATGATAATATGCTGATTTAGTTATTGCTTTGACATGACTACTGAAACTAAGGTCTGACTCTAGAATTGCATCAAGAATTTAGTTTCACTCCGCCTGCCCGCTGCCTGGACTACTGGCAGTACAGACTAAGTATAGCCGGAGATCAGCAGACTGCCTAAGTTTCCTTTTTGTTAATAAACTATTTGTTTTTACCTAGAGGAGAAGAGTTCCTGGACACCTGCCATCCTGCCCGCTGTGATGAGGTATGCTTGATGGAGGGATTTCGTTACGGGCTGGACAACGACATTCCCTTTGTCATGCCCCACAGAGATCTGTGCTAAACTATAAAGAGCTACATCAACTTCACACTGTGGATGAAAGGATCCGCATTCATGGTTGACGAAGCAGATGACAAGGATTACATCAGCGTCCAGCCCCAACCTGCAGACCTCTATCGTCATCCCGTGCAACATTCATTGTACGCCTCAGCCCACCACAGACACAGAGTCTGTCTTCTTCACTGGCTTCATCCAGCCCTTGCCTTCTGTCTTCACTGTTCATCTCCAGCCCCGAATCTTCGGTTTCCCAGCTGGTTTCCTGTCTCTCCTCTGGTTCCGTACAGCCCTAAACCTTCTGTGTCTCCACTGGTTCTGTCCAGCCCTAAACCTACTGTGTCTCCACTGCTTCCGTCCAGCCCTAAATTTTATGCGTCTTCGCTGGTTCCATTCAGCTATAAACAGCCTCAAGTCCCGTCATCTCCACCATGGACTGTACTCTACATGCTCCGCCAGTCTTCCTTATCCCTCTGGCACCTCTTTGGACAAGCATCCATCTACCTCCACCTTCTATGCCTGCAAAGCACTCAGTCTTATCTCTGCTGCCACCTGTCATCCCCTCAGCCTGCCATCACCTATGTGGGTTTTTATCGAGTTTTCTGGTGACAAGCTCCACTCCCCTGTCTCTGCCTTCAACCACTGGATCATTGACTCCACCTCAGTCCTGCGACCCATTGACTCCACCTTGGCTCCTAGCTCCCTCATCTCCACCATGGCCCACCATCCCACTGTCTTCACTCATCCCTCCAGCTCCACCTTGGTCAGTCGTTGACCACCCACCACCTCGGGATTCCACATCCTCAGTCACTCCAGCTCCACCGTGGTCTTCCAGAACCACTTCTTCACCTCAGTCACAGGAGCCTGCTGCTACGGGATCCTCTGTGTCGCCCAGGCTCCATGTCTGCTTGGGTCTCCATCACCGGCATCATCAAAGGAGCTTGAATCCCTGGTTCCACCTCCCAGGCCTCCACCATGGCTCCTCCCTCCAGCAACTCCACCGTGGGGCCCCATCCTGGCTGGGGTCTGGTTGTCCGCTACTTGGTTTGTCATCCTCAAGTCCTTTATCCACCCACTGCAACTCCCAGCAGTTCCCTGGCTCCTTCCTGCTTTAGTGCCTCCCTGGTCCTGTTTGCTCCATTCTCCATCTCTTCCCTTCGCCACTCCTGTTTTCTGTCTGCCCTACTCTTCTGCCATCCCTTCGCCCACTCCTTGGACTCTGTATGTTCACCATCCCTTTGCCCACTCCTGCCTCCTTTATGGACTCTTTATTGGTGCGAGATCACACCTTTCCGGAGGGGCAATCTGTCACGGCTTAGTTCTGTTTTAGTGCTGTTTTTGTCCTATAACCTAGATTTCCTTGTGTTCCTGTCTTTAATTAGTCAATTTGTACACCTGTGTTGGTTTTGAGTTGATTACCCAGTGTATTTCTAGCCCTGTGTGTTTTTGGTTTGTGTTCAGTCTAGTTGCTTTATGGTTGTGTGATACCCTGTTCGCTCTGTTTATTAAAAGTGTTTGAAGATTACATCTCTTCTGGTCATGCCCTCTCTTCCCACACACGCTGTGCCAGTGTCAAAGGTCATTCCAACTAGAAAAAAGCTATCTAACCCTGCTTCTGGAGGGTTTCATACACCTATGCCCCTGTCTGTTGTTTTCAAGTAATCCGGAAGACTTCGGATGGTTCATATGTAATTGATTAGAGTCTGAGCTGAAATCTGCAGGGCAGAATGTTAGCCTTCCAAAGAACAAGCCTTGGTACAGGGTTAATTCCTTGGTGCTTCTAATTACCCTGATGACTAGAACACACTGTTTCATGTGTTGGCTGTAGCACAGTGTGGTAGGCATATGATCCCCTTAGCACCAGCTACTGACACAGCATCAAAGTGACTTGAAAGGGATTAAACTTTCAACATAAACATAACCTTGTTCCCCTCATAAGAGAGAAGGAGAAGCTATAGTTGCCGCACAACTGATAATGCACTGTCAGAGAGTATGGTAATACTCAAATATGGAGTGGATTGTCAAACATCATCTGCATTGGCGCAATGTTAAACAGCTTCAGAGATCACTCAAGGTTAGAGTTTCCATAGTGCCAGCTACCTATGCAGCAAATGTTTCCCTACTTCCAGGGATTGTACTACCAGTTACTAAGAAAAATGACCTAACTACATTGAAGCTACCCAAGGAAGCAACATCTTAAAAATAAAACTAGCTGATTCTATAGTTTACAATACAGAGGATGATATGATTTAATAATAGCTGTAGTTGTCTGAGATAAAAACAATGATGGTTTTTGAATGAATTTCATTTTCAAGGGAAATAACATCAAATTGGACTGATGAATTTACATTAAATACAGCTAAAATTTAAATACACACCAATTTATTATTTTTATATTATATTTATAATATATATATATATATATATATAAAATGTCATACATTTCTAATTTATACTATCATTACATATAAAAGAGAGGACCATTTAGGATTAAACGGATTCATTAGAATGAGTCAGAATTTCCAACATTACATATGAAAGGGAGGCCATTGTTGTAAAAATAGCTTCTTACTGAAAAAGCTACACTATTTTGAAAGCCGCAGAGGCACTCTCACACTACTGAAAAAATGTTTAGTCGTCAAGTTAGCAATATTGTTGCTTTCCATTCGTTACTTCACCAACACTGGCATTTACAGTCTCTTTGAAAACATTTATTGCACATTATTTATTGTTGTACTATTGCTCTACTGCATTTAGACTGCAATATGAACTCTGTCATGGAAGATATAAATTGCTAACTGATTGGTCAGTTGGTCTGGCATCACAAAAAGGTTGATGCGTGATAGTCCGGTTCGAGTGCAGAGGTAAGCTATCTCCACCCCTTTATCAGAATTCCTACCAGGACAAATAGAACCACAGAAACACATAATTAATAATGAAGTGTACAAGAAACAATTCTTGAATTAAAATTATATAGTTAAACTCAACATGAAATGGTATTCATAACCCATTTGACCACTCTATATATTTTACAAATGGGGAATTAATTGGAAGCTGTAAAGAAGGCATTCCACACTTTATTGGCAAGATTTTACAAAAGGCTGAGAAAAGGCTACTGAAAAACAGTAGCTGCTTGGTTAATTTATTATAATTTTTTTTTAAAGTTGCTTCAGAAGCCAGGCAATATATTACATGGTGATGAAAGATTATAACGACATTTTGGAATAACATGCACTATAGAAATGTATTAAGAAAATATGTACTGCTCTTACTCGGATTTATTGAGAGCGAGACTGGTCCAGTATGCTTCCAGTGGTGCTGTGACCACAGCATCAAATAGAACTTCCTGGATCAGATCCTTATCACCTTCCAAACAATCAAGATACTAACAAAATAATTCCCTCCCTCTCCCATACACACACACACATCATGCTCTAATATATTTTAATATATCTTCAACTCTATTATATATTTTAAAGAGTTGCTGCCCATCATGAAACTGCATCCAATAGTATATATTTTTTTAATGAAGAATACAAAAACAAAGCGGAGTCTTCAAAACAAGTGTTAGTGTTGATATGCATTCAACTTACACTTCAGATGTGGTTCCCCATTAAAATACAGCTTGATGGCATCAATCTGAGTTAGGAAATTGTGTTCTGGATGTTCCTCTGTGTTACAGTATGTCCTGAAAAGTCAAACCAATCTGTCACACACATGCAAACATCAAACACATTCTGTAGACTCCTCAAAAAGCTACTTTAAAGACACTGAATAAAACATTTTAAGATACTACTGTACCATTCATTCGCTAATAAAACATCTGGATGCTCCAAATCATGTAGTCCTGAAAGAGAAGAAACATCTGTGTCATGCTGTTGCTTAATGCTGCTTCAGATTCATACTGTATGACATGATATAGCCCAGCAGGATTTGATCCTTAAATAGCAACATCCGGTGATGAGGAATATCAATACTAATTCCTAACAAACAATCTGATCTGCACACCTAATCTAGGCTTAAAATCAGTAAGAAATGATTGGTGGATAAGAATGTTGTTCAAACCCCCAACCACAGCCATAAGCCTAAGCTTGGTCTTCTGAAATGAGAGGTCTCTCTGCATTTGATTATTAATCTATTAAATGTTAAGTACTAGGACTTTGACATGTAATCATCTAGCAATCATGTTATAGCGCAAGCTAATTGGCAGCTGCTGTATTTGCAGCTAATTAGCTTGCTTGCTTATACACTCAATGTTCCTCTGATATTCTACATCCCACAAAGTTAAGTGAAAGATGTATATATTATCTTAAATAATCAAACATTATTGTGTAGTCTACAACAATCCTTTCCTTAAATAAAGCAATCAAGCATATATATGAAAATTAAAGATTGTGGGGGAAACCCTTTTCTTCAGTTCCACTGTTACAAATCATTACAATATTGTGGGACTGAGAGAACAGGGCTATGGGGGCGATGACTCGGGTGGAGCAGATGCTTGTGGGCTATCTGTCCCCTGAGTCAACTTTTGAGGGCAGGAGCGGTGTACACCTCATCACACGGTTCCCCTCTCTCCTCAGTGCCCTCAGGAGATCGGTCTGTTAACCCTGCTACCACTGGTGCTTCAGGGCACACACTAGACCAGGGCTGTCCAAACTCGGTCCTGGAGGGCCGGTGTCCTGCAGAGTTTAGTTCCAACCCTAATTAAACACACCTGAACCAGCTAATCAAGCTCTTACTAGGCATAGAAACTTCCAGTCAGGTGTGTTGAGGCAAGTTGGAGCTAAACTCTGCAGGACACCAGCCATCCAGGACCGAGTTTGGACAGCCCTGCACTAGACGATTCGAGCAGACCGCGAGACCACACACTTGTCGATTGTAGGAACGATTTCACAGTGACACGTGATCTCACGGACACTCGCGAGATCAAACGTGACTAGAAAAGAAAAATAATCAATGTTGTCAGCTGGCTCTCCTGGCAGGCATTCTGTTTCACGGTGAAATACAAAGTATAAAAAATAATATGGGTGATGTTCTCTGCTTTCATGGCATGTTTGTGGCTGCCAAGTTTCAGCTATAGAAGCACGCAACATCCGATAGGTGACGCTTGGTCGCTCTCATTGGCTATCGCGGGTATCACGTCAGAGGCAGCCCAATCAAGAGTTGATTCAAAAATCAACATGTTTGATATTTACGATTTGAATTCAGGGACGCTCCGTCTCGATTGGAGCAGATAAATAATCATAATGACACCACACAATAGAGGATTTTTTGGACAAAAAATAGTTTGCGACAAGCCACGAATTGGGCCACAACCCCTGATCGTTCGGGGATGCAAATCAGGTTTAAATGCGGCCTTAAAATCATCTAGTGTGCGGCCAGCCTTATGACAGATGCATCCCTTATGGCCTGGGAAGCGATCATGAGTGGTCGCTCAGCTCAGGATCAGTGGAAAGACATGCATCTTTCATGGCACATCAATTGCCTGGAGATGTTGGCTATGTTTCATGCACTGAAACACTTTCTCCTAGACTTGAGAGGCCATCATGTGCTTGTCCGCACAGACAACACATCAGTGGTCTTTTACATTGTTACGGTCGGCGACCTTTTGTGTTGTGTGTGTGTATATGTTGTTTCCTTTAGTCTCTTCTCTGTTCTCACTCTCATGCTCTTAAGTACCGCCTTCCTTGGATTCTATTGGCTATCTGTGCTGTCATTCATCATTAGTTAATTGACAACACGTTTCCTTTGCCAATGGCGTTCTTGTCCGTGAGGTTCATTGTATATTCAGTGTAGCTCATGACGCTTTTGCGTAGATTTTTTTTTTCTTTCTTTTTCTTTAATAGTTTAGGGGTTTTGGGATTTAGTTAGATAATGGATTTAAGCGCCACTTTAACTTCCCTTCTTTTCCTTTGTCTTGTTTGTTTAACTTGTTGTTCCTTGGGGCCAATAAATCTTTCTTGTAGTGCAGTTTTGCATCATGTGTTCCATTGCCACTTATTTTCCCTGGCTTAGTTCTTTAATGTCAACTTAATGTTACCTCTTCTAATCCTTAGATAAAAATTATCATCAGAGACGTAACATACATCTTCAATCAGGGGGGTCTGCCGTTTGCAGGTTGGCACACCAGATCCACCCATGGGCTCCGGGAAAACCGCTCACCCTGAGGGCAGTCTACCTCCCTCAGCACCTCAATCAGGGAGCAGACATCCTATTGAGGCAGGTGCTATGGCCACACCCCCTGACAAATAGAGGCTCCACCCTGAGGTGGTGGAGTAGATTTGGCAGAGGTGGACTTATTTGCATCTCAGGAGACGATACACTGTCCGCTCTGGTTATCCCTAATGCATCCAGCTCCTCTTGAACTGGATACCATGGTCCAGGAATGGCTGAGGCTGCGTCTGCACCCAGAAAATCTGGAGAGAGTGCGCCATATGGTTCTTGGACCTGGTGGCCCTCCTCAACAGTTCTCCGTGGGAGATTCTTGGCCACACCCTTACATGCACACAAACAAAGAACACCACCTGGATCTGGACAAAAGAATGTGAACATGCATTTAACATCATAAAATAGGATTTAACACAAGCACTAGTTCTTATGCCACCCGATTTCCCTAAGCCTTTCCAGTTACAGACTGATGCCAGTGATGTTAGATTAGGGGCAGTGCTAGCACAAGAGCTGGATGGAGGAGAAAGAGTAATATCGTATGCATCTAGACTGCTGTGGGGAGCTAAAAAAGTATATTCTGTGTCAAAGAAAGAGTGTTTAAAGGTTGTTTGGGCAGTTGAAAATGGAGGCCTTATCTGAAAGGAAGAGCTTTTGACATCATTACAGGGAGCGCACAGACATAGCATACATTGAATAAATCCTGGTTGAATAGGTAAATGGTAATGAGTATCTGAATCTGATTGCCTGGGTACATTGAATTGAATGAACCAATTAGAATGCAAGTAGAGTATAATGGCTGAAATATTCCTATATAGTGTGGTTCGTTTAGGTGCGTGTGTATTGTAGCATTTGGACCAATCAGACACACCATTTTTGAATGGTGAACGACACTAGGCCCCTGGTTACCATGGCAACCAGGACAATTCAGCCAGATCAGATAACTTTTACGACCTAAAAGTATGTAGAGAGAATCTTCCCCCATATTCAATTATCTCTAAAACAGACACATACTGCTATAGGAAATGACTTCTTTCATTAATTCATAGACAATTTTTTCTATGACCTTCCTATCATGCATATCCCCAGGTCATTGTCTATGATTACTATCTTCTTGTATATGTTTTTTTGTATTGTATACTGTTTTATGCATGCTTATGATCAGTGGTGGAGGTAATGAATTACAACTACTCACGTTACTGTAATTAAATCTTTTTTCAGGTACTTGTACTTTTTTGAGTATATTTTTAAAGCTGTAGTTTTACTTGTACTTAAGTACAAATTAAGCAAAATAATCTACTTCATTACTTTTAAATCATTGTACGTTACTGAGTACGCCCACAATTTGAATTGATATTTAAACCTTTGACGGCACTTCAGTAGCTAATATCCGATCGTAAAGGGACCAATAACAGCCCTGATATCTGAACCGGGAAAATTTTTCTTTACCTGCTGCCGCTGCTGCAGCAGGTAAAAAACTGATCAGACAGTGAGCGAGCTCAGTGTAATTCATGGACTAAAAATTTGAAGAAAACTACATGGTAGTGTTTTCATAAATATAAATATTTTGATACCGATACTGAAATATCAGTATCTACCAAATACCATTACAGTATCTACCGAATATACACCAACACAAACTCTTTCCTCTCCGACAGTTTGACACACATTCCGCCTCCTGTCAATTACAGAGTCTGAATATCCACGCGGGATTGCAGGTATTCCACATAACTTTAATCATTCCCGCGCAAATGTGGAGAGCGCTTTATTGTAACATGAGAACATGTAATGTCATGTAATCGATGAAATTTGGATGCAAGCTCTCAAAATATGCCTAACTCATACAAATGACCTGCCTGTTCTGTCACTCCGATATTGCTTGTGTGCAGACTGTGCAAATGCGATATCTCCGTGCTTTTAGATTAAATTATTTCTCTTTGCTCCTGGATTGAACTTTGTCAAAAGTTATCAACCATTTAGAATAGATCCACGCTTGATCGATGAAAATCCTAATCTGCTGTAATCTGAAATTGTATTGGCTGTAAGTGAAATGCACCAGAATGTATTTCAACAATCAAAGATGGAACTTTAATTTCTTTACAATGTAAGTTTATGCTAGAAATGTTTTGGAATGGGATATTTGTCTGATTTGTACATATCAATATCCTAGTCTGTTTAACTGCATCACTACATTGTGTAAGCTTTTGCAACAAAGTTACCCTATTTTAAAGACAAATACACAGAATGAGCAAATGTTTAAGATTGAGATTTTTTTAATGGTATTGATCAATATTTATATGTATAGAAATAAAAGCCTATATTAAAATCTGTTCATCATATAAAGTGAATGTGTCTTTTTGGAAGACTTGGATTAAACCAATTTCAAAGCTTGAAATAATAAGCTTGAAATAATGATTGCCTTGAAAAAAAATGGATGGACAAATTTTTTTTTTAAATATTAAAATATCTATATGGCAGTATACATTACGTGTTAGTTTTGCCAGTGGTATTGAAAAGGATTATTTGTCATGAAATCAAAAATGACCCTACTTACTTTTTAGTGCACTTTACTAGTCTTGCGGTGAACAATTGAACCATGCAAGTCAATACACTGTAAAAAAAAAATTGTCTGCCGTCGTAATCTTTAATCAAAAAATGCTTCCGCTCTGGAAAGGAGTTCTCACTCTGATGACATCAGTTTGACGGCTTCGTGAGAATCCGGTTGTTAAAGGAACACTCCACTATTTTTGAAAATAGGCTAATTTTCCAACTCCCCTAGAGTTAAACAGTTGAGTTTTACCGTTTTCAAATCCATTCAGCCGATCTCCGGGTCTGGCAGTAGCACTTTTAGCTGTAGCTTAGCATAGATCATTGAATCTGATTAGACCGTTAGCATCTCGCTCAAAAATGACCAGAGTTTCTATTTTTTCCTATTTAAAACTTGACTCTTCTGTAGTTACATCGTGTACTAAGACCGACGGCTTAGCTCTTTTTCTCTTTCCACTGGGAAGAAACTCCCACTCACCATCGAGACAGAACATCATTTGGAATTCATCAAACCCGGAAGAACGTAATCGCGAGTCCAAAACCTTGAAACCATCAAGACTCGTCAACGACCAAGGCAATGCAAGTATTGTACATTTAACTAAATGAAACAGAGGTTTAGTATAAGCTATAGACCCCGTTATAAACGGCGCTGATGGTTTTACTCAGGGGGTTAACTGACTCTTTTCATAGCTTCATTCTCTGGTTTTCCTGATGGTTTCATCCATCAAGTCTCATTTGCCCTTTCCCATGTATGAGTGATTGTTTGTTAGACTAGTTTGTGTTAGTGTTTAGTTAAGAAAACTCTTGTGCACAAATTGCATGTGTTTCTGATTTTACCTTGCAAATTAATGTCCCTTTATGATTCCGATCTAGCTACATGCTCTAATGCATTAGTAGGCTACTGTAAGAAGGTTGTTTTCTGTGGCCATGAAAATATCCTTTCTTAGAGTTGATATGAAATTACACTAAATGTTCGCTGGATGAACAGATTGGTTGATGGCAATTTAATTCTGCTACAGTTACTACTGGCAGCCAGTATAAATAATTGTAATGAATCATAATTAATTTTAATTATTTATAGACATTCCCCTTTGAGCTAATTTCCTACAGTATATAAATGGGAATATTTTGCAGTTTTAGTAATTTTGAGTGTTCTAACTTAAATCTGCTTGTTTTATGTATACAAACCCGATTCCAAAAAAGTTGGGACACTGTACAAATTGTGAATAAAAACAGAATGCAATGATGTGGAAGTTTCAAATTTCAATATTTTATTCAGAATACAACATAGATGACATATCAAAGGTTTAAACTAAGAAAATGTAATATTTTATTCAGAATACAACATAGATGACATATCAAATGTTTAAACTGAGAAAATGTATGGAAAATAAGTTGATTTTAAATTTCATGGCATCAACACATCTCAAAAAAGTTGGGACAAGGCCATGTTTACCACTGTGTGGCATCCCCTCTTCTTTTTATAACAGTCTGCAAACGTCTGGGGCCTGAGGAGACAAGTTGCTCAAGTTTAGGAATAGGAATGTTGTCCCATTCTTGTCTAATACAGGCTTCTAGTTGCTCAACTGTCTTAGGTCTTCTTTGTCGCATCTTCCTCTTTATGATGCGCCAAATGTTTTCTATGGGTGAAAGATCTGGACTGCAGGCTGGCCATTTCAGTACCCGGATCCTTCTACGCAGCCATGATGTTGTAATTGATGCAGTATGTGGTCTGGCATTGTCATGTTGGAAAATGCAAGGTCTTCCCTGAAAGAGACGACGTCTGGATGGGAGCATATGTTGTTCTAGAACTTGGATATACCTTTCAGCATTGATGGTACCTTTCCAGATGTGTAAGCTGCCACATGCACTCATGCAACCCCATACCATCAGAGATGCAGGCTTCTGAACTGAGCGCTGATAACAACTTGGGTTGTCCTTGTCCTCTTTAGTCCGGATGACATGGCGTCCCAGTTTTCCAAAAAGAACTTCAAATTTTGATTCGTCTGACCATAGAACAGTTTTCCACTTTGCCACAGTCCATTTTAAATGAGCCTTGGCCCAGAGAAAACGCCTGCGCTTCTGGATCATGTTTAGATATGGCTTCTTTTTTGACCTATAGAGTTTTAGCCTGCAACGGCGAATGGCACGGTGGATTGTGTTCGCCGACAATGTTTTCTGGAAGTATTCCTGAGCCCATGTTGTGATTTCCATTACAGTAGCATTCCTGTATGTGATGCAGTGCCGTCTAAGGGCCCGAAGATCACGGGCATCCAGTATGGTTTTCCGGCCTTGACCCTTACGCACAGAGATTGTTCCAGATTCTCAGAATCTTTTGATGATATTATGCACTGTAGATGATGATAACTTCAAACTCTTTGCAATTTTTCTCTGAGAAACTCCTTTCTGATATTGCTCCACTATTTTTCATCGCAGCATTGGGGGAATTGGTGATCCTCTGCCCATCTTGACTTCTGAGAGACACTGCCACTCTGAGAGGCTCTTTTTATACCCAATCATGTTGCCAATTGACCTAATAAGTTGCAAATTGGTCCTCCAGCTGTTCCTTATATGTACATTTAACTTTTCCGGCCTCTTAATGCTACCTGTCCCAACTTTTTTGGAATGTGTAGCTCTCATGAAATCCAAAATGAGCCAATATTTGGCATGACATTTCAAAATGTCTCACTTTCAACATTTGATATGTTATCTATATTCTATTGTGAATAAAATATAAGTTTATGAGATTTGTAAATTATTCCATTCCTTTTTTTACTCACAATTTGTACAGTGTCCCAACTTTTTTGGAATTGGGTTTGTATATGGTATGGTAACTCGAGACTAGTGTTGCCTATAGACTGGATACTTTAGTTAAGGTTCTTACCCTATGAAACAGTTTAATGCAGCCAGGGTTTTAATCAGTTTGATACAGTGGGCAACGGTTACACAGCACACACAGTTACACAGCTATACACTATTATACAAAAATCATTACAAACAACCACTACATTACACTCAGTAGATTTCACTCATATTCACATCATGAAACATTTCACTGTTTAGGAATCACACTATATTGCAGGCAACACACACAGACATACATTTCTAATGATCTATTAAGTGAAATGTAGTGAACACAGTCTATAGTTACCTTCTTCAACAGAGGTATTTCCTATGAAGAAATATTTGCCATGACCTCTGGACAGGGCCACTCCTAAGCTGAAAACACGAGAAATAAATAATAGACATCTAATTGAGTACAGAAATTTACATCAACAATCTATTCTGCATTCTATTTGTTATAGTATTTATTAATCAATTCTGGCTTCCTAATGCTGTTAATTTCTCACATAATACTATAGATTTTGTACAATAACCAAGCTCTAATATTTTTCACCACATCAGCCAATGTTGGACAAATTAACAACATTACCAGCCATAAATGATCCTGAATCCATAAACTGCATCTTTTTTTGGTGGGTTGTAATGTATCTGCAGATGAAATGTGTTGCCAAATGGTAATCCAATTTTGGGAAAAAAGAAATGACACTACTTTTAAAATAGTGTAAAATAGTGAAATCATCAACTGTTAATTTACTTTCTTGCCAAAGTCCATTTTTATTTACAGTTGGTGCTGGTGCTAGTGTTCATTTTGAACCTTGGCTATACATGTTTAAAATCTTTTTTGGAGCTGTGCTGCAGTAGATAGCACTATTCGGGTTTGTGGGTAGTGCAGTGGGTTTGAGTCCAGCCTTCTGTCTCCGTCTCAGTTTTCCTGTTGTTCTACATTGCTCTATAAATATATAAAGAAAAACCTTACCTGAAGGGAGTTCCTTTAATGTCTGTGTAGTAGTAGTCATTGTGTAGAACAAGCACACGCTTCTGAGACAGTCATAAACAAACACACAAACACCATAAGAGAATTATAAACCTACTGATAAACCTATTACTTGTGTTTGTTTGTTTGTGTGTGTGTGTAGATTAAGTTTCTTGCCCCTTTATCCACAGTCTTCTTCACTTTCATAGAGAAGCTTCCCGTCTGCCTGTTCACCATGGCATTACGCAACTGGAGAAAAAAAAAAGATTGCATAAATAAAACTACATTGTATTATTTTAATAATAACATGTGAGTGAGGTTTGCCAATGCTGAACTCAATGTTAGGGTGTTGCTAGCTGATTTCTAGGGTTGCTATTAGAATAATATGGGTATTAGATATATTAGAACCCCTTATCTCTATGATATTCTGATCTCCAGACAACATTCTTCACTTCTAAATGTCCCTTATATGTTTGCTTTAATTAAATATTTAAACATTTTATGTTTTCAGCTATTTTTCAGCCTTAAAAGAAAACGAATATACAGTGAAATAAGTAAAAGACCACAAATACACTCAATGGACAAGACTTTGTAGGAATATTGTCAAATATGCATGACATCAATAAGCAGCTGGTGACACCATGTAAAGCACAAACACTTAAAGTTCCCTTAATACAGGAACTCCACCAAGAATATTTTGGAGAAATTTATAAACTGATTTTGCAGTACTTCTTCCAACATGTAGTAAAACAGTTATGTGATGTACTGAGTAATTTATGTAGTCACAAAATAACTGGTCACTTCCCTACTGAGCTCGCTCTCATGTGTGGATCCCTGAATTGCAGTAAATATGGCATTATTCTCATCATCATGTTTACTGTGTAGATAAACACACATAAAAATGTCGATGAAAATAATCAGTCTTTAATAAATTCCCAGAAGGTAAATCCAGACAGAGGGTAGGCTTTTAACCCACGCATCATCGACAAGACCCGACAAACTCAAACAGGAACTTAAATTCACAGACCAAACAAGGATAATTAACAAGACACAACTGAACATAAAGAAGAACTCAAATCAGAAACCATGACAACTAACTCAGTGAAAACAGAAAACAAAGTCCAAACAGTGTGACGGTGTGACAGATCACCCCCATCCCGGAAGTCGCAACCAAGCGGCGCAGAGAAGGAAAGGTCAGAAGATGGCGGAGCATGGCGAAAAGGGATGGCGAAAGGCAGGCGGCCAGCGGAGAAAACTGGTGGAACTTCAGGAGGACGGACGACTGGTTGGAGGACGACAAACTGAGTCCAGGATGGAAATGATGGAGGTAAGAGCCAGGGAGGAGCCTTGAGCAGGGGTGTAACGGTGGGACCCCAGGCCACAGCCAGGACAGTGCTCCACGGTGGCGTCAACGGAGGGAGGAGCCAAGGCGTGACAGGAACACACGCCACCATGGGGACGACTGGAGGCGACGGTGGTGATGGAGGTGGAGCCCACAGCACAGACAGAGAGCCGAGGAGGTGGCACATCCATCGCGGTGGGCTCAGGCAGACGCACAATTGCTTTGAATGCAGATCTGTGAGGAAGTCATGCTAGTCTTGAGGAGAAGGATTCAATATATAGCAATGTGGAGAACAAGGAAAGCTTCTAATGAACATACAGATATAGCTAACTTGTCTAGATTTGTTAAATAGGACATACAAACTATTTAGTGAGTTTCCTCTCTCATATTTGTGTTATAATAATGTTTAACTTATATACAGTGGGTACGGAAAGTATTCAGACCCCCTTAAATTTTTCACTCTTTGTTATATTGCAGCCATTTGCTAAAATCATTTAAGTTAATTTTTTTTCCTCATTAATGTACACACAGCACCCCATATTGACAGAAAAACACAGAATTGTTGACATTTTTGCAGATTTATTAAAAAAGAAAAACTGATATATCACATGGTCCTAAGTATTCAGACCCTTTGCTGTGACGCTCATATATTTAACTCAGGTGCTGTCCATTTCTTCTGCTCATCCTTGAGATGGTTCTACACCTTCATTTGAGTCCATCTGTGTTTGATTATACTGATTGGACTTGATTTGGAAAGCCACACACCTGTCTATATAAGACCTTACAGCTCACAGTGCATGTCAGAGCAAATGAGAATCATGAGGTCAAAGGAACTGCCTGAAGAGCTCAGAGACAGAATTGTGGCAAGGCACAGATCTGGCCAAGGTTACAAAAAAAATTCTGCTGCACTTAAGGTTCCGAAGAGCACAGTGGCCTCCATTCCTTAAATGGAAGACGTTTGGGATGACCAGAACCCTTCCTAGAGCTGGCCGTCTGGCCAAACTGAGCTATCGGGGGAGAAGAGCCTTGGTGAGAGATGTAAAGAAGAACCCAAAGATCACTGTGGCTGAGCTCCAGAGATGCAGTTGGGAGATGGGAGAAAGTTGTAGAAAGTCAACCATCACTGCAGCCCTCCACCAGTCGGGGCTTTATGGCAGAGTGGCCCGGCGGAAGTCTCTCCTCAGTGCAAGACACATGAAAGCCCGCATGGAGTTGTGAGATGGTGAGAAATAAGATTCTCTGGTCTGATGAGGCCAAGATAGAACTTTTTGGCCTTAATTCTAAGTGGTATGTGTGGAGAAAACCAGGCACTGCTCATCACTTGTCCAATACAGTCCCAACAGTGAAGCATGGTGGTGGCAGCATCATGCTGTGGGGGTGTTTTTCAGCTGCAGGGACAGGACGACTGGTTGCAATTGAGGGAAAGATGAATGCGGCCAAGTACAGGGATTTCCTGGACGAAAACCTTCTCCAGAGTGTTCAGGACCTCAGACTGGGCCGAAGGTTTATCTTCCAACAAGACAATGACCCTAAGCACACAGCTAAAATAATGAAGGAGTGGCTTCACAACAACTCTGTGACTGTTCTTGAATGGCCCAGCCAGAGCCCTGACTTAAACCCAATTGAGCATCTCTGGAGAGACCTAAAAATGGCTGTCCACCAACGTTTACCATCCAACCTGACAGAACTGGAGAGGATCTGCAAGGAGGAATGGCAGAGGATCCCCAAATCCAGGTGTGAAAAACTTGTTGCATCTTTCCCAAAAAGACTCATGGCTGTATTAGATCAAAAGGGTGCTTCTACTAAATACTGAGCAAAGGGTCTGAATACTTAGGACCATGTGATATTTCAGTTTTTCTTTTTTAATAAATCTGCAAAAATGTCAACAATTCTGTGTTTTTCTGTCAATATGGGGTGCTGTGTGTACATTAATGAGGAAAAAAAATTTACTTAAATGATTTTAGCAAATGGCTGCAATATAACAAAGAGTGAAAAATTTAAGGGGGTCTGAATACTTTCCGTACCCACTGTATATAACTTTTCCTGAGTTGAAAGTGCTTTACAAAAAGAAAAAAAAAACAGGACAAACACGATACAACATACACAATATACATATATAAAATGTATAGTAAAATATATAGTTTTGAATGAAAAAAAATGTATGCCCAACCCAACAGTCTGAACAAAAGTGAAAACTTCAGCGCAAGTTCTGTCAGGAAGACTCCAATGCCACATCATTCATTCATACTAACAGGTCTGGCCAATCACTGCTTGACAACTGGAGTATATAAGCACTGAACTCTGTTTTATTTTTCGCAGTTGATGACGCTGACATTCCCTACTCTGTCAGGGAAACTGTCACTTGAAAACTTTAGCCCGACTTTTCATAAAATGTCTGACATAATTGAAATGTAACCTATTGTGTAAATGACAGTACTTCTCACGATGCACACTGTTAATATTGTGCAACAAACTAATATAACAGTAAGTGTTTGCGGTTGTTTGAATATATCCCCTATCGTATTCTACAACAAAAACAATCAGAGCACCTTGTTATCACTAGTTTTATTTTGATTTCCCGAGTCCGCTATTAGCAAATAGCCCGCTAGCATCGCCAGCGTGGTTGCCGCTAATCTCGCTTACATTACTAATACTCTATTCACACACATTACCATTGTTTTACTCACTGTTACTTGCTTTAATGGCGGATGTGTGTCTACCTTTGAGTGCAGGTGAGGACACGTTCAAGCTGCATTTGGTGCAGCTCGAGCTGGAGGCCGTGGAGAAGCAGATCCGTGACCTGGTGGAGAGGCAGACCCAGCTGAGAGAGTGGAGAGCCGCGCTGGAATCATCCCAGGCTGACGCTCACAAGTCCGAGGGAAGTATACAGCGCGCTGCTAATTCTCCCACCACCTCTACTCCGTGTGTTTCTCTGCACAGGCCCGGTGCACCCAGGACGCGATCTTCCCAGATGTCCTTCACTCCGGCGCCGGGACACCACGGACCCTGGGTGCAGCCGCAGCGGAAGATGCGAGCCAGGTCCCGGGCGACGACCTCGCCCCCTCCGCCGCCTCCGGTCTTCGAGATCTCAACCCGGAACCGCTTTGCTCCCCTCCGCGAGACGGAACGTGACACTGTGATCATCGGAGAC